ACCGAGTACGGACGGTTTAAAAAAATATGCAAATTTTTTGGCGGGAAAGCGGCCTCGGGAACCACACGAGCTAAGGGGCTGAAACTTTGTAGGGATATTCCCTGTGCATGTATTAGCTAAAGATTTCAAATCCAGCTTCCAGATATGAGTGATACGCACGCAAGGGCGTTTGAAAGTTCTAGGGGGAAAATTGCTAACTCGCATCCAGAAAAGCTGGTAGGCTGAAATTTTGGGAGAATATTCCCTGTCCAATTACAACTCAAATATTTTAAGTTCAGCCCCAAGCTATGCGTAGTAATTACGTAAGGACTTAAGAGAGTTTCTGCGGAAAAATTACTAACTCGACAACTAAAAAAGGCGGAAGGTTGAAACTTTAGGGGGATGTTCCCTCTGCAAGTACAACTTAAGTATTTCAAATTCAGCCTTGAGGTACGCGTGGTTCTTAAGCACGGGCGCTTAAAATTTTGACTGAATATCTGGTTGAGCCACTAGGTTACTTTTAAAGAACGATCGTTAAATGGAAATTGTACATCTACTTTTTGCAAAATTTATGGTGATTTATGCAAGTGATCGCAAATGGTAGGTGTAAAGCAACAACCATCCATGCGGTTAATGATCTGAGTACTTCAAATCCTGTGCAAAAACGCATGATCGCACGGGCCCGCCCGGTGCGTTCCAGCCTGGGTTTTTTAAATGTGCGAGCATTCACCTGAAAAACGATCAGGCTTTATGCAAAAAAACTGATAATCATGCGCGTTGGAGGTCTATGCGACCTCGCAATGAAACGCTTTCATCTCAGCCGACACCCTTTTCCCTGAATGAGGAAGAAGGCCAAAACAGCCAAGTGTTAAACTACAGTGCAGGAACCAGCTCTTAGCAATCTGCAAATTTAGCGTAAAAACTCATGGTCGCACCGATAGGTCTATTGGTTCACTGTTCCAACACTTTCCGAAATTTTCATAGACACATTTTGTTGTATAAAATGAGAAAAAACTAATATGAGCGTCTGATTCGTCGCAACACAGATATTCGTTAAAATTGTTTTCTTTTTCAGCCACATTTTCAGAAAGATCCACTTCAGGTGTATTAGCCAAAAAATTTTTCTCCCTTCAGAACTGAAAATGATCCTTGAAATTGATCCTGAAGATCAGGTAACATGACATATGTCATCGGTCGAGAAGGCATCATACCTTTGTCACTCATCGAAATGTATCAGATGTGCATAACGTATGGAGGCGGGTGTGAGCAGCAGACGATAGTTGCAGTGAATGATGGTCAGCTTTTCAGAAGATAAGCAACATATTGCTCAGTTACGGAATACTTTTTCTTTAAAATATTATGGACCGCTAGGAAAAGTTACTGGGGAAGAAAAAGGAGAGCGAAGAAGAAAATGGGACGAATCTTCGTTCCTCTGAGTTGTCGATGACAAATTTTACTCTGATGATCTTTACTAATTTCGTTCCTTTTTGAAGAAAAAATTGATATCTCAGCATTTCTTGCCAGTGTCGCATATGCTATTTATCAGTAATGTTCACTTCTAAACTTTGTAAGCGCTTTTTGTTGCTAAAATTAATGATCTTTGATAAAACTGCTGGGGGATCACTCCTCAGTTTTTTATGCGTTTTTGCATATATGTAAATTGCAAAAACGCATATTGGGAAGAGGCTGTCTG